GCCTTCCTTCTCAATGCATCGACCACTATATTGGCCCTCCCCAGATGATATAATATGGTGATATCATAGCCTTTCAGTAACTCTAACCATCTCCGCTACCACAAATTAAGGTCCTTCTGTTTGAACAGGTACTGGAGACTCTGATGGTCGATATAGACCTCACACGAAACGTTGTATAGAAGTGTCTCCAAATCTTGAGTGCGTGAACAATGGATGCCAACTTCAAATTATGCACAGGGTAATTCTTCTCATGAACCTTCAATTTATGAGACGCGTAGGCAATCACCCTACCGTCAGGCATAAATATCGTGCCAAGCCCAATACACAACGCATTACAATACAAGGTGTACGATCCTGAACCTATGGACAATACCAACACTGGGATTGTTGTTGATACCCAATTTTTTTCCCTATATATTTTAATATATAAATATTATATATGCATATATAAGCATGTATAAGCATTTTTATAATTTTTCTATAATTTTAAAGGCTTTAAAATTAATTTATTTCTTCCCTTTTACTTATAAAATTCCAACAATTATCCTTCAAATTATTTTTTTTTGTGGTGATTTAGTCATCTAAATTCTATACTTATGCCAAAATATTGTTTAAATATTTTTGGTGTATTTTTTATAATTGGATTTATATTTTTAAGTTAATTTGCATATATTTGCAATACTAGACCTATTAGTGCATAATTATATTATTAATACATAAAATGGTCTTTTATATTTTTAAAATATTAAACAACTATTTTAAATTATTTTAGTACACAAAATATTTTTTGAAAATCATTTTATTATTTTTATAAATTATATAGTACTGAAAATGACTATTTAAAATCTAGCCTGATTTCATTTCAATTCCAGCCTAATTCCAACCCCTCCCCAATCCCAAATCAGCCCAAAACGGACCCCAAAATTACCCAACCCAACTTAGGAACACCTACCCGACCCAATACCCGGCCAAATCTTGGTCGTTGATTGTTTTGATCAACGGCCCTGGTTTTCCCTTTCCTAATTAAACTAACCTATACCCTCCCAAACCTAATTCATTTCACAACCAACCCCGCCGCCCTAAAATCTTCTCTGCTCTGAAACACTCTCAACCTAAACCCTCTCCAAACGCCGACCCCATCTATGGCCATCTCCGGTAACCTCTCACCATCTCTCGGGCCTTCAATGGCTTCTCTAATGTCATTCCTGCCATCTCTAAGGCCCCCAAGGTACCAGGGCCATGTCAACTTACATCTAGGGTTCATCTCTCGCTTGTTCCTGACCATTCCAGTGTGATTTCGAGTGAAATCGTTCTATATTAGCTACGATCTAAGGGGTTTTCAGTATGTTTCTGCATCTCTGTATGATTCTCTTCGAAACCCTAATTTCTTTTCCAAACCTCCTAAATCTGTATAGATCTAAGATGATTTGAGTTTGTTTCTTGTGTGTTTTACAATAGCCTTGAGATTCTTTATAAGAATCGTATGATTTCAAGTGATTTTTCATCTTTTTCTAAAATTAAGATTTTCGAAATTTCTTTTTAAACTTTGTTTAGTGATTCTTTGTGTTTAAACTTCTGATTCTCACACATTTTGACTAATTTTATGAACCTGCTGCAATCCTAGCCGGTTTGTACAGAAAACCCTAACTTTTTGGGATTTTTCGTTTGGTTTCTGGATGTTGGTACCTCTGACTGTGTTCTTGCCTTGGGTTTTTGTGACTTCTCATGATTTACTTGTCCTAGTATGCTTCTACTAAATTTTCTTAGTTCAACCTTTCACTGATATTATGAACTTGTGTTTATACTAATCATTCATGCAAAACTTGTATGCTTCACTTTGAACCAGTGTCGTTTAACCATGGGTTTTGTTAAAGTTGTGTGAAATCCTGACTATTCATGCTCTACCTCATTTTATATGCTAAGCATGCTGCTTCTTTCATGACTTTCTGAACCCTTGATTACTTTGAATCCCTTATTTTCTGGTTTAATTTGACCCCTTTCTATCTAACGTTTGATCTTTACTTCTTTACTCAATTTGATTGAATTTACCTGCCTTAATTGTTTTTCCTTGCCTTGTTGTTTGCATTCCACTGGTTGTTATTGATTTATTTCCTTAATTAAACTGCTATGCATTTAACCTTACTTGCATGTTCTATACCTAAGCTTTACTTTATTTTTTTTCTTAAATACTGAGTATGTTTTACCATTGGTTGAGCTGTCCCTTGATTAAGGGAAAATCTTGCTGATTTACGTGAGGTTTCCTTGATTTACTACTTAATTAATTTACTACCTTGTTTTTTAAGTTTTTGATTCCTATATAAACTTTCTCTTCTTTTAAGTTCTGGACAACAACCATAACAAGGAACACTAGTTCAGAAACTCTCTTTTATACTTAAAGTTTTCTACTCTTTCTGTCACTTGCTACTTCCATTGAACTAGTCGGTTGTAAGCCAAGGCTAGTTATTGCACTACACTATTCTATACTTTGTGTCTTGCTTTCCTTAACTGGTATGTCTCTAATTAATTTTTGGAATCCAAACCCTATGTGTTTTTAGTTCATCAGTTATGGGGTTCAACTTATATCCTTGCCTACTTCTTTGATCAGCATGTTTAAAGTCTGCCTGTTCAATGTATGCTTTAGTTCTGCACCCTTTCTTGCTTACTTCTTTGCCTAGAATGTCTAAAATTCTATCCTTTCAATGCATGTTTTGCACTCAGCTTACTTCTGTACTTAGCATGTCTATATTATATGTTTAAAACCTGTTCAAGACATGCCAACTATTATTTATGTTCTAAACTATTTACTAAGCCTCCAAGGTCCTAAGTGTTGTATGCAGTTTGTGACTACGTGTCTCTACTATCCCTATCCATGTCCCTAATGTGATTCTTGTGTGACATAATCCCTCCATTTCTGTGTGAAGATCTGTTGTTGAAGTTTTCTGAATCTAGGTATTTCTTATGACCAATTGATTGTCTGATGTTTGACACTCTTCTCAAACTGTCTTCTATCACTAAGTTATTCCCTGTTTCTAAAAAAACTTTCCTACTATTGAAGTCATCTCTGTACTATTTTCAAACAAAACTATATCAAACACTCTCACACTAATCCTAGAATGTTGGGTTTTCCTCCTTTGGCATGTGTACTGGCTTGAGATCCTTGTGATTTCTCTGAACTCTGGCATGTCAGAGCTGACCTTTCCATACTGCACTTAAATTAGTTCTGGTTTGAGAAAACGTCTAGGTGTAAGCATTGCCCGGGATCCTTGAGGTCCTTAGGAAACTCTAACACACCTAAACAAGATACTATTGTCAGACCTCCTTTTTACTACCCCAGGGAGGGTATAAGATAGTTTTTTCCAATTTAAGTGACAATCGAAATGGGATTATTTACATTAAAATCAGAGTCACCACTTGGGATAATTTATGGTGTCCCAAGTCACCAGTTTAAAATCCCGAATCGAGGATGTTGACTCTATTCACGGTCTGTGAACACAGAACTCTGGGTAAGGAATTCTGTTAACCCGGGAGAAGGTGTTAGGCATTTTCGGGTTCTATGGTTTTAGCACGGTCGCTTTGATCATACTTGGCTAGTTAAAATTGTCTAATTACTTATTTTAGAACCTATGTGCATTTGCCTTTTTTAATTAAGAAATTATCTTAAAACGGGTCACGCGTACGTGTACCCATTTGTTTGGCGTGTCAAAAATCATGTCACACGGATGTGTCCACAATTAGTAACACTTTATTTTTATTAAGAAAGTTTGGCCGAAGTTGCGCGAACGCATACTCTGGTTTTATTTTTAGGAATCGTAATCATGTCACGCGAACGTATCCATAACCACGATAGTATATTAAATGTGCGTAAAGCAGACTACGAACATTTATCATTTTTATATCTAAGTCATAAGGTTAATACGAGCGCCATGAATGATTAAATTGTGGATGGTGCACCTCGAACTATATGAACTAAGTTAAATTAGTGGTCCATTAATAACAATTTTATTATTAAAAAAAGTTTGATCGAAGTTGCGCGAACGCATACTCCGAATTATTTTTTTTAGAATCGTAATTATGTTACGCGAACTTATACACAATCATGATGGTATTTTAAATGCGCCTAAAGCATACTAGTGAGTAGATAAGAAGAGTAAAGCAAAACTAAAATAAATAATAAAAACTCATTTCATGCTCCATTTCTTTTAATTTCTCCTTTTATTAGACCAAACCCGATACCTAAAGCATGGAGACAAATCAATTGCTAATGGGCTTCGGTCTCTCCCCTCACTCCCACGGCCCCAACAATCAGTCAAACAATTTTAACAAAAATCAAATGAGCAAACAGTAACAATCAAGAACAAGAAATAAAGAGCTAATTAATTAGATTACAAAGAAAGAAAGGAACAGAAAATTGATCCAAGCCTGACAAGAGCCTCTACTACCCCATTTGCTAACCCAAACCCAATCTTCAAACTAAAACTTAACAATTGCGTATTAACCTCAACCCCTTTCGATCAAATTTTAGCTATGCCTTATTTCCACAAACTAATCACACCACTCTACTGTAAATGCCAAACCAAATCTAACAAAGTAGTATAACAAAATTAGCTATTAAGTTAGTGTGAAAAGACCATCAAAAGCCCGATGTAGAAAAGATGAACCGAATGCCTAACACCTATGCACAATATGTTGAATCTTTAAATTTCAAATAACTGAAGTGTTCCAAATAACTCTTGAAAAACTAAAAATGTAGTAGCAAAAGAAATAGGTGCGGACAATGATATCCAAAACATGAAAAAGCAGTTGACTCACTCACAACTCACTACACCAAATAATTTTAAGAATCCTAAGAAAACTGTTGTTCTTTCAATTACACTTGGAGATAATTTGCAGCAAGGAAAATTTGGGAACTTAACTAAACTTCTCAAGATAAAATGTCGATTAAGTGATGATTTTAATGTCAAAAATAAAAAAAAGCATGCCAGTAAACATCACACTTTACGTCAAGAAAACACCAACAAGAACGGCGCATGGAACACAGTTTCATCATGATTAGTTCCAATATTCCAACATTAATCTCTCACACTAATCAAACCAAACAGAGATCCAAATAATTCATGCTCATTTACCATCTAAAAATATCACCAGAAGAATTTGATGAACACACAATCGACATAAAACATAAACTTGAATCGAGAGGAAGTTAAACATAAACAACTACTCTAAAGCTCAAACCACCCAAAACAAGTTCAAATAAAATGAATGATACAGAGATAAACCTGTTAAGCCAAAATTCTCTTCAAAATTAATGAAGTAGCAATGAGTACACAGGCCTGAAGTCCGAGAATTCAGCCGTGAAACAGCAATATAAAAACGAGCAAAAATCGTGATTAGAACCGCGGGCAGCAATGGGAACCTCGACTCGACATCGTAAATCTCGAATCGAACACGAACTCAAGCCCATATCTCACAAACGAGCTCCAAAATGGACTAAACCTCCAACGCCAACTAGAGTTGATAATCAGCTGAAACCCACTGGTGGAATGATTTCTAGAGCAATAATCTGCTTTGCTCTGTTCTTGTTACATATTCGGATCAAATAATTAGGAGAAAATAGAAGGCAAAATCATTATGAAAATTCCCAGAGGTATCAAATCAAATTAAATAAAAAAAGTGAAGAATCCCTAACATTAATCTTCAGTAGAAATACGACAAATCTTACGCCGAAGATCAATGTGGAGATTCTGAAGCACTTGAAAACGGGAAATTTCAGATTCACAGCTTCCGTTTTTCACGTCAATATATAGCAAAAGGAAGCAGAAAAATATAAGAAATATATGTAAATATAGATGGAGCCGGAGGGAGGTGTGGTCATTTGAGGGTTGTCGCTGGTTAGGGGTGTGTGGTTGTATTTTCCGGCAATTTTTGAGAGATTCAGAAGGTGGGTCAAGAAGAAGAAGCTTATGCTTTTTCTATGGAAAAGCGGTGGATTTTTGTGTGTCTATAGGTCTCGGGTCTAGAGTCTGATAGTCTTCTCTTTATATATCTAGGTCTAGGGTTATTTAAGGGTGAATGGTTATTTTAGGTTTTAAAATCTGATGGGCTAAGGTATTGGGCTTTAAAACTTGGGCTTTTATAACCAAATTGGCTTAATTAACCAAGAATTTATCCACCCTACACCAACTCTTGCCTATAAAAATAAAATAAAAAAAAGATAAAAATACTACCAAAGTATTAATTAGCCCTACTTAAGTAGAAATAGCCATTAAATTAAAACTAACCATTAAAAAAACTTATTTTTTTGTGATAAAATAAAGTAAAAGAACCAAAATTAGTTGAAATAACTATATTAGACCTAAACTAATTTTTTAAATGCTACAATGTGAAAAATCTTGGGGAGGGTCAAAAATCACATGTCTACAGCTGGCCCTCTTTGACTGGAAATACGAAGTATTTTCAGACAAAGAACGACTAGACAAGTTTTTTGACCGACCCTTATTTAAAGAGACCAAAGGCTAAAAGAAAGGAGAATGTGACCGAGCCCTGGTATCTGAGCTTCCTACATATCCTTGACTATAAAGGAATCAGGCCACGTGTAGTTCATAAGTGAGTGAGATGATGGAGTATACCGAGGTGGAAAGCCGATCGAGGTGCCATTCTGTCGAGGTTCTGGTCCGCAGTCCTGTTATTACATCAAAATCAAAAAATGAAAAAGACTAACTAAGCCTGTCAACTATGAGTTACAAGATTCCTGTCTATAAGTCTTCTGAAGCTTGATCTTAAGTCTTGAACGGCTCTTCATGAGGACTCTAGATTTGAACCTTGACGCTTGCTAGTTGCAGGTGCTGGTTCATTCTTCTTCAGCTTTTCGGATCAAAACCGAACATACCATGCTTGTGACTTCAGTCATATCTTGAGCAGCTCACATTTTTCATCAACTTCTGCATTTGGATTCACTTCTTGGCTTTTTTTATTTATTCTGGATTGTGACTAGCTTCCATTGATCATCTCGGACTGTTGACCCGCATTCTTGCCGCGAGCTTCTTTTGTTGCTGACTTGAATTGCATTATGAAGCGAATTCCCTTATTCTCCAGGTGGATCCTGATTGCCAACATTTGAACCGTATTCCCTCGTTCTATAGGTGGGCGCCTGATTACCAAAGCTTGAATTGTATTCCCTTTGTTACTTTAAACTGTTGGCCCTTGAAACCTATGTTGTCTTCCTTTGAAACTTGAACTGCTTTCCTTGTTCTCCAGGTGGGCGCCTGATTGCTAAAACTTTAAATGTATTCCCTTGCTTTCCAGGTGGGCACGTTATTGCCAAAACTTTAACTGTATTCCCTTGCTCTCCAGGTGGGCACCTGATTGCCAAAACTTTAACCGTTTTTCCTTGAGACTTGAACTGCTTCTCCTTGTTCTCCAGGTGGGTGCCTGATTTCCAACACTTTACTGACTTGTTTTCCTTTGTTCTCCAGGTGGACTCCTGATTGCTGAACTTGAACTGTCTTCCTTCGAAACTTGAGCTGCCTTCCTTTGTTCTCCAGGTGGGCGCCTGGTTGCTGAACCTGGACCGTCTTCTCTTGTTACTTGAAACTGTTTTCCCTTGAACTTGAACCCTTTTCTCTTGTTACTTGAAACTGTTTTCCCTTGTTCTCCAGGTGGGCACCTAATTACAACAAAATAAACAAAACAAAAGAAATTTTCTGCCGAGTTTGATATTGGGAACATCTGTGAGCTTTAACCGACTCTTGTTATCCAAATAAGTTCTAAGCTAAATTCCCTTATCCTGAAAAATTTCAAACCAAGTCTCATCTCAAAAGTGAAAAACTTAAATGCTAAATTATACTTCCCAAAAGTAAAACTCTCGTTAGACCTTGTCACTTGCGAGGGTCTCAAAACTTACTAAATCCTGTTATCCATGAGGGTACCAGAAACTTACTGTCGAGCTTGTCTGGCACCTGCTTTCCTCACGAGGGGTTTCTCCGGAACAAACAAATTTTCCTCCCATGTTTCAATCAAAGAAAACTTGTGAGTTTAAACATGGTGGTTGGTTTGCGGCCTTGACTTTGAGGGCGATTGCTCCTTCCCTTCCCATGATAACTGCGATTTCAACTCGAAAGACCTTGCCTATTTATTGACTGATCACTTTCTCTATCACCCTTATTACAGAAAATACCTCTTATCCGTTCACCCAACATCTTTGATCTGTTGCATTGCGCTCATGTATTGACATATGCTGAACCTTTGTGTTTCACATGAATCCCAAAGCACATCAATTGCCGCCCACTCAGTGCGCAAGCTAATCTTTCCTGACTTAACCTACTGGCCTTGGCTTTGAGGTCTATTGCTCCTTCACTTGCCATGATAACTTTGATTTCTGCTTGGAAGACCTTGCTTGTCACTGGTTAACCACTTTCTCTATCAACCTTATCATAGTAAATACCTTTGATCCGTTCACCCAACATCCTCTATCTGTTGCATTGTTCATGAATTGACATATACCAAACCTTTGTATTTCACATGAATCCCAAAGCACGTTGATTGTTACCAACTCAGTGCGCACACTGTACTTTCCTAACTTATGCCACTTTGATGTGCTAGTCAGATCCCGTTTTGTGCAATTGGAAAGCTGGTGGCAAAGTTTGAAGTCATTTCTCACTTGTTCTGACCAAACAGACTCAGGAAGAGGAAGTAAACAAGACAAAAGGAATGAATAAAGGACAATGGAAAGAGATGATTCCTAACAAGAAAACTACAAAGTAGAAACTTATCAGATGTGGATACCAACTCTAATGACCATAACATGCACTTGTGGCCTAATCTGTCAAGCAAATCTTATGCTCAACTCTTGTTAACCCCTAAACCGTGAAACTGGGCTTCAATGCTCCGATTATCCAGTCTGATTCACGATCCCTATTCGACTTGTAGTGCCCGAAGTGTTTTCACCATCAAGCCTCTCTCATTCTGTTCTTTCTCTCAACTCACCATCACCTTATGGTGCCTGTGAAGGTTTTCACCGATAAGACTCTCTCATTTTGTTCTTTTCTTCTTATTTCCTATTATTCTGGAGAGGACAAAGCATTAACCATGGTAAAACATCATATGCTCTTGGCATGTCTAAACTCAGCACTCTCAAAGATCATCTAGGAGGTCTTTTTTGGACTGTAATATGGCTTTTGGACAAGGTTAGAAAGAAAGGATATCATAAAGGCTCAAAATAACTAAGACAATGGGGTTAATTTATTTACAACTTTTGGAATCCATTCTAAAAACTTTGCCCCAATTTCTAAAACAAGGGAATTTGATTTTGTTTTATGGAGTTACTAAGAAAGACTACCCCACTTTCGACTTCGTGGAATTACGAAATATTTTATTTCGTATGACCGAGCCATAAGGCTGCCTACGTATCTTGAGGTGACAAGAATCAGGTCAAATGTAGTTCACAAGACTACTTTTTGTTATTATTTTCCTTTTTTTTTTCGTTTTTTTCTTTTTCCTTCTTTTTTCTTTTTTTTCTTCATCTGTATTTTTCTCCTTATTTTTTGAATTTTCCTTTTAGAATGAACTTTCTAAATAAACCTATGGGGACATGAACTTTTTTTTTTCCGTATGATTCTAACTTGACTCCAAAAGAGGGGATGTCAAAGAAATTAGTGCAGGCTCAAAAGGGTATCGAATGGTATAAGTGTTTGGGTAGCTGAAAGAAGGCCTCCCAATCCTTGAAAATGCCGAGTATAACACATGCAACTTGAAATGAAAAAGGAAGAGCACACACAACATTTCTTTTACAGCTTCGACATTGATATCACTGATATGCTTTTCACTTTTTTTAGTGCCTTGTCAAGTACAAAACTCTCATTGGGTGATTTCTTCTTCACGATGGATACCCTCCGTCTATTTGGAGCAAACTCTCCTGACCTTATCTTGTGAATTGAGGTGTACTTGAACTCAAAGCTGCTCACTTTAAATTGTTGGGACGCACTCTCTTGTAACAAATTCTTGTCGTCCTATTAACTTCCCAAACTATCTGCCCCAGTTTCACATGGTTCGGGATTCAAATGATCTCAAAATGTCCAACTCTGTACTTATTTCCCTCAAGTGTCCCTATCATATTCAAAATTGTTTCATTGATTCATGATTAAACTAACTTTTAAGACCAGACCTAGAATTATGCGTGCATGTCATGTCACTAGAGCCAGCAAGAAAAGAACTATAAAAGGAAAAGAACTAAACAAAAAAATGACTAGAAATAACAGAAAGCAGAAAATTGCATTAGCCAGACGGTGAAAGGGTTTGAACAACGAGACAAACAAAACAAACTGAGGTTACGACCCTGGAAAAACCTAAATAACACTAAAAGGGGTACTACGACTAAATGAACTAGGCAAAATAAAAGGATAGAAGGGTTTGAGTAACAAGACAATATCCGGATTACAACCCTGAAAATAACCCAGACAACAGAAATGACAACAAAATGAACCACCAAGACTCCTCCCTGGCTAGCCAAGAGATGGAGTGTCTTTTCAATTATCAAGCTCGACATCTTAGGCACTGAGTTCCACATCAATATCACTGGGACCTTCACCAACTTCAATTACATTATCTTCACCAAGTGGCTCATTGACTCCTTTGACCAACCCTTCGTCATTGCAGACCATCCCAACAATTTGTGCGTTGTCATGTACCTGTAGAGGATTATGTGTGACACTTGGTGTATTACTGCCTTGGACCACATCCTTCTTGAATCATTCTTTCTATTCCCTTTTCAAAGCACGACAATCTTCAACTTTGTATCCCTGGGCATTGGAATGGTATTCACACCTTTTAGTAGGGTCAAAGCTTCTCGCACGTGGGTCTATATAAATTAGAGGAATAAGTGCAATCATGTCGTAATTCTTTAATGTCTCAAACAAAGTTTTATAGGACCCTCCTATTGGTGTAAAATTATTTTTCAGCCTTTGTTCCCTTCTACACCCTTGGCTTGAATGTGGGTTATAGGGCACTTGGAAATTTTGTGGAGGCTGGTGGGGATTT